GACTTTTTGATAGAAATATTGTGAGAAATATTTTAATTTGGTAATATTTATCATTTTTGTAATACCTCAAATGAAAATGTCATTTGTAATGTTGATTGGCAGAGTGATTTAATTTTTTACAACTAAAACAAATCAATCAAATCTTTGGGGTTTGAACTGGGTTGGAGGTGAGGGAGTAGCTGACTACAATTTTCACAGGATGTTTGCAGTCAATCTGGAATTAAGGTCTGAGCCCGGCTTTTCCTGAGACAAACATTTTTTCTTTTATAACCAGGAAACAGCAGTTAGGTCAACAGTACAACTCCCTTAAAATGTACATTGACTTGAATCAGTTGTCAAGGTTACATGGGGGAACGTCACAATATTATAGTCAGTGTTACATCTAGCATACCTGGATATCAATATTATAAAATAGTCACCCCCGAAATAAAATAGTCTTCCCTACTTTAGCATGAATTGTGCTGATTTAAAGCCCTCTAAGCTGGGTTTGGTGGTGCACTTGGAAGACCAAGACAGAGGATTGCCATGAGTTTGAAGCCAGCATTGACTACATAGTAAGTTCAAGGCCAGTCTGGACACATAGTGAGATCCTGTCTCAAAAGAATAACTCAACATAGGAAGCAAATCCTGTAAATCTCCTTAAAGGGAAAAAAGGGTTTAGGTTTTGTTTGTTCTTCTAATTGTTTAGAAGAACAGCAGGTTCCCTGGAAGAGATACTTCCAGAAACATCTATAATTGTCAGAATGACATTAAAACCAGTGACCAGGAGTATATACACTTAGTGCCAGTATCAAACATTTGAAACCAATAATATGCTAGGTATAGGGTTAAATGCTTTGTAGGCACTGTCAGCTTTCACCATCGCCTTTTTATAACATGGGTTTAGTAAGTTGAGATAGCTTATTATAAGCGAGTACCACTGTGCTAGGCCCTTCTGCCTTTTTATATAGACTTCTGACTTTTCTAACACACTTGATATATATTCTCAATGTGTCTCAAGTTTTCCTCTGCCCTACAATGTCTGAGGGGCTCCCTCTTATTTGAAGGAAGAATGGGTTTCTTGGCATTGTTTTGACAGTACTTCTCTTTTGAAAGAGGGAATTTTAATCATTTCCTTATTAGTAGAAATAACATTTTAGCATTAGTATATAACAAGTTGCCTTGCTGTTGCTTACTACTTTAGCCATGTGAATTCTCATAATTTTCTGCCTGCTCATGTAATGAGCAATGAGTAACATATCTTGGATAGAAATTTGTTTATATTCTAAGTAGATCTCAAGTTTCCCAGCTTGAGAAACGTGTAATGATGTTTACATGTTTAATGCAGTTAGTGTAAGTAAACAAGTCTTGTAGGTGGAGTAAAACAAGATGTACCAGTAGAATTAGAGTGTTCTCACTGCTTTTTTGACCTTCTAGTATGTGTGTGTGTGTGTGTGTGTGTGTGTGTGTAGTACTTGGGATTAAATTTGTATGAGCCAAATGTTCTACTACTGAGCTACATCCTCAGAACTTTTTTGAGACAGTTCTAAGTTTCCTGTCCTCAAACTTAAGATCCTTCTGCCTCAGCTTCCTGAATAGCTGGGATTATAGGCCAGTACCACTGTGCTAGGCCCTTCTACCGTCTAATATGGACTTTTGGCTTTTCTAACACACTTGATATATATTCTCTATCTTTAAAATTCAGATAAGCTGGTATGGAAATATTGCTGATGAAGTTTTTAAAAACCAAACTCACATTAGATAGAAGAGTTATTACAAGTAAGATAATCAGGATTCAGTTTAACTTGAAGTTTTATTTTTTTATGAAGTGTAACTATCTCAAGATATCTCTTTTATCATGTAGCTACTCAACTAAAAAGATTTAAAAAACTTGCTAAAGCTGGCTTGGATGAGAGAAATAGTTGTGGGTGGAGTGGGGAGAGGTGTGTATGTGTGTAGATGAGTATGCATACATTTTCTCTACCAGTCCATCAACTCTTTTTATCCTGCAGTGGACAAGATATGGTGAGCATCCTACAGCTAGTTCAGAATCTGATGCACGGAGAGGACGATGAGGAACTTCAGAGCACCCGGTAATGGAGAATGGCTGAAAGCTCCCTTTTGAAAGTCTGGGCGTGCTTGATTTCATTAGCAATTCCATTCTTACAAGTGACTCTAATAAGAAATTGTGTTGTATTATGGGTTAAATATTATACTGAGATGTTTTCTCTTTTCAGAAATAATTCATGTATTTTAGGTAATACATATAAGTATATATATATTTATTTATTTTTTTGTTGGAACCAGGGATTGAACTCAGGCCCTTGCGCTTATCAGGGAAGTGCTTATTCTACTGAGCCATCTCCCCAGCCCTAGGTAATATGTTTTGTAAAAGGAAGAAATTTACTAAAATTAGATCCAGCCAGGCATGTTGGTATATATCTGTAATCCCAGCATGCAGGAGGGCTAGCCTGAATTTCATAGTGAGACCTTGTCTCAGAAAAAATATTTCAGGCCAGAGAGATAGCTCAGTAGGATAAGATCCTGAGTTCAATCCCTGGTACTGAAAAAAAAAAGAAAGAAAAAAGAAAAAATAGTATTTCAAAAATAAGTAAATAATATAAGGGCCAGCCAGATAGCTCAGTGGACCGAAGTGCATGCTTAGGCAGATGCAGGGTCTGGGGTTTGTTTCGTGGCCTGCCCTGCTGTGCTGGCCTTGCCCCAGGGTACGCTGAGACAACTGAGACTGGGCATGGTAGCACACCTGCAATCCCAGTGTTTGGGAGACTAAAAACTGAATCACTACGAGTCTGATCTATGTAGTGAGACCCTACAGACCCTGTACTAAATACATTAAAAAAAAAAAAGTACGTAATATTAGACCGTATAATTTTTATGCTATGGAGTCCTACCAAAGCTGTGTGCTTTTCCACTTCTGCTTGCTAGAATTGCTGTAGTTTTCTTTTCTTCTTCTTCTTCTTCTTCTTCTTCCTCTTCTTCTTCTTCTTCTTCTTCTTCCTTTTTTTTTGCGGAACCAGGGATCGAACTCAGGCCCTTGCGCTTGCCAGGGAAGTGCTTATTCCAATGAGCCATCTCCCCAGCCCCTACTGTAGTTTTATTGGTGACAATCCACATCATCTGGGAATCATCCAGTTCTTTTATTTATTCATCTACTTAACTAATTTCATTTTGTCTTCTATGTTTCAAATTTTTGTAATAATGTGTTCTTGTTCAAAATTCAGTAGATAAAAAAGTATACAAAGACAGTTTTCCTCTCTACCTCTGCCTCCCTAATTCTCTTCCCTAGGACGGTATTACTAGTTTCTTATATATGCTTTCTTCCCAATTTTGCATATGTGTAGACATCGACAAAATGTCTATAGCCAGGCTGGGGAGATAGCTCAGCAATCTAAGCGCCTGCCTGGCAAGTGCAAGGAACCAGGTTTTATCTCTGGTATTGCATGCCCTGCAGAGCTGGCCACTGAAACTGTGTGTGGTAAGGAACACCTATAATCCCAGTGCTGGGGAGGCTGAGACAGGAGGATCACTACGAGTCTAAGCTGTGCAGCAGGACCCTGTACCAAATACATAAATAAATAAAAGATTTAAAAAATGTCTACAGCCATCTTCTCCAAAACATAATATGCCCAGAGTCAGCACGCTGCTTTTTCCCCAGAGTTCATTGCATATCAGTAAAAAAAAGGAGCTTTATCTTTCAGAGATATTTAGTTGTACTTTGAATGACTGACCTGTATTTTATGTAACTAGTCTGTTCATATTTTATTGGAAAAAAACTTCACTGTAGCTAGTGACTTTGGACATGTCATTTCTTCTCCTCCTCCTCCTCCTTTGATTCTCCTTTCTCTTTCCCACCTTTTGTTTTTTCTTTTGATAGTGAGGATTGAATCCAGGGCCTGTGCACTGAACTACATCCCCAGCTTTTAAAAATTTTGAGATGGGGTTTTATTTATTTATTTATTTTATTTATTTATTTATTTATTTTTGCTAAACTAGGCTTCATTTTGGAAAAGAGAACTGAATTAGATTTTAGTGGAGGTCATGGGCAAGAAGGGGTACCCCAACAGTATTGTACCCCCAAGGGTGGGCTGAGGGCCAAGCTGAGCCTCAAGTGGGTCTCTTGCTCCCAATGCTCCCTTGTACAGCTGTCTCCTCATGGGCTCTGGGGCAGCCTCGGGAGAGGTGCAAAGTTGCATTAAACTCAAACTTGTGATCCTTCTGCCTCAGCCCTCCAGAGATAATAGCTATATGCTAAGAATGAGTCATTTCTTACAGAGGCAAATGTCCGGGGGATGAAATCTTAGCAATGTGGTGGGGGGTAAGGTAGTATGTACATTTGTAATTTCAACAGTACTATGTCTTCCTTCTTGGAGTTATGCTAATTGACAGTCCTAGTAGTAGTATATGAGAATATCTCATTTGCCATGTCTTTGCCTGCAGTGGTGTTATCAAATTTAAGGATCTTTAATAAGTGAAAAGCAGTATGCTGGTGTGGTATGTCAGCATAATTTAAAATTACTTCTCTTGGGGCTGGGGAGACGGCACAGTAGAATAAGCACTTGCCTGGCAAGCGGAAGGGCCTGAGTTCAATCCCCGGTTCTGCCAAAAACAACAACAAAAACAAAAAAACAAAACAAAAAAAAAGTACTTTTCTTTTGAACCAGGTTAAGTCTCTTTTTTTGTCTATTTTAAGACTTCCAATATTTTTATTTCCCTTTTTGTAAACTGACTTTTGCCCATGATCCTGTTTGGTTCTTTGTCTTTTTCTTACTGTTTATAGCTAATAGTTGTACCTTTTTCTTCTTTTTCTTTTTTATAGGTTTCTTTTTTTTTTTTTTTTCTGGCGGAATCAGGGATTGAATTGAGGCATTTGCACTTGCCAGGGAAGCGCTTATTCCACTGAGCCATCTCCCTGACCCCTATAGGTTTTCTTTATAAAAGAAATTGATCCATCCATTTTAATTAAATATAAAGGAAAAAAGTAACTCCTCTTGAATATGCTGTATTATTTTCAGTATATCTAATGCCAAAAATTGATCTATAGTAGTTCTAAAAGTATTTTCTACTAATATTATCCTAGTTATACCCTCCATATTTGTTTGTTTTGGTTTTTGTTTGAGCATTGGAACCCAGGGCCCAATGCATGGTACTACTGAGTTGTAGTCCTCCAACCTCCTCCTCTGTACTTTATTTATTTATTTATTGGTACTGGGAATTGGACTTATAACCTTGTACTTGCCAGATAGGCACTATGCCACTAAGCTGTCTTCCCAGCCCTTCATTTTTTTATTTTTTAAAGAATAAAAAATAATAATAATAAATAAAAAAATAAAGAATACAAAATGGTAACATACAAACACACACACACACACACTAGAAGAAATGGTATAAAATTTCATTAAAATAATAGGAATTCAACAGTGGTTGTTGTATTACATAATATCTTCAAAACCAAGGAAGTGTCAGAGGAGTCAGATGAGGATATGGGATTTGGTCTCTTTGACTGATCACCAAAAAGCAAACTATTCAGCCTGCCTGATTGGCAAAACAAGGAATAAAGGCATAATTCCCTTTCAAAAAAAAAAATGTTATCTCCAAATTAGTTGTTTAGGTTACCAGATACAAACCTGCAAAATTAGTATAAACCAAAGTTATAAAAAATTTAAAAAGTAGGGCTGGGGAGATGGCTCAGTGGAATAAGCACTTCCCTGGCAAGTGCAAGGGCCTGAGTTCAATTCCCGGTTCCACAAAAAAAAAAAAAAAAATTAAAAAGGAAAACTAAAAATAAAAAAATAAGCATTAACTGCTCCTTTCAATAGACCCACAGAAATTAGCAGTATAATTACCCAAGCTATCCTGCAATCCTGCATGTATACATAAATTTATCTTTTTCCCTTTCCTCATCCCACTTTTTCCTTCCCATATCTATTATACCTTTTAGATTTTATTTACTCTTCCTTTGTCTTACACTAACGAGACAATCTGATGTTTGTACATGCAGGTCTGATTTATTTCACTTAGCAGTACAGTCTCTAGTTGTATGTATTTACCTATTAAAAAACCTTTTTTCTTTTTGTGGTACTGGGGTTGAACTCAGGCCCTCGTACTTGCCAGGCAGGAGCTTATACCGCTGAGCTATCTCCCTAGCCCTTCTATTTACCTATAAAAGCTTCAAATGTATCTTTTTTTAATAGCTGAATAATACTCCATTATGTAAAAATACCACATCTTTTATATCCATTTCTTAGTTGATGGGCATTTGGGTTGTTTCCAAGATTTAGCAATGACAACTTGTGCTGCTATAAAAAACATGGGTGCACATAAATCACTGTGGTATAATGTTTTCAGTTCTTTTGGGAAAATACCTAGGAGGGGAATAACTGGCTTGAGTGGGACCTCTAATCCTAGCTTTTTGAGGAGTCTCCATACTGATCTCCATAATGGTTGTACCAGTCTGCACCTCCACCAGCAGTGGAGAAGGGTTCCTTTTCCCCACAGCCCCTCCAGCATTTGTTATTGGTTGTCTTGATGATGGCCATTCTTTTTGGTATAAGATGGAATCTCAGCATTGTTTTAATTTGCATCTCTTGAATGACCAATGATGTTGAATATTTTTCCTATACTTGTTGGCCATTTGTGTCTCTTCGTTTGTGAAGTATATATTCATCTCAGATATCCATGTTTGTATTTGGTCTTTGAATTTTGGAGGCCTGATTGTTTTTAATTCTTTATATGTTATAGATAGGAGTCCTTTGTCTGAGGAACAGTTGGGTATAATTTTTTTCCCACTTCATGGGTTTTCTTTTCACTGTTTGTTATTTCTTTTGATGTGCAGAAATTTTTCAAATAGATGAGATCCCAATTGTTGATTCTTTGAAGAATTTCCTGTGTTGTTTGATTTTTGTTCATAAAATCTACCTTATCCCTATGTCTTTAACATTTCTACCTACTTTCTCCTCCAGAAGATTTAGTGTTTCAGTTTTATATTTTATATCTGTGATCCATTTTAACTGAAGTTTTGTGCATGGTGATAGACTTGGGTCTAATTTTACCCTTTGGCATGTGGAAAGCCAGTTTTCCCAGCACCATTTATTAAAGAGGCTATCTTTCTCCCAGTGAAGATGTTTGGCCCCTTTATCTAAGATAAGGTGGCTGAGTGTATTTGTAGTTGAGTCTGCATCTTCTAATCTGTTCCAATGGTCCTCAGGTCTGGTTTGTTTGTTTTTTTTTTTTTCCAGTACCATTTTGTCACAGCTTTGTAGTATAATTTCTTTCTTTCTTTTTTTTTCTTTTTTGTTTTTTCTTTTCTTTTTTTTTTTTTTTTCTCTACCTGGGATTGAACTCAGGACTTTATGCTTGCCAGGCAAGTGCTTATTCGACTGAGCTATCTCCCTCCTGGCCTTGTAGTATAATTTCAAGTCAGGGATTGTGATGCCTCTTGCCTTTCTTGTGTTGCCCAGTGTTGCTTTTGCTATTCTCCTCTGTACTTCTTAAGGCTGGTATTTAATGTTTTAAATATATTATTAAATATATTAAAAGGAAATTATTCAAAAGCAGTTTGTACATACTCATTAAGGGATATTTACTTTTTCATTTAAAGACTTTAAGATTGAAAACATTTCTTTCTCAAAAGCTACAACTAAACCTCTTCAATAAGAGGGATAATAATCTCTGAGGACTTGAATTTTAATGCTATTTCTCCCAAACTTTCAGTACCTTATATTGCATTGAATTTTCTGAATTTGTGTAAATTTCTGCCTTCTGGACAGTAAGTAGATTTCAAGTCTGCAAGATTTCTTAAGGAACATTGTGTCCCTTAAGTTTTGTTTTTTATTCTTTGACTCTTAACACTTTTTTTAAAAAAATCTAATGAACTTTTATTAACAGAATCCAGAATATTGGAGAACAAGGTCACATAGCTTTATTGGGACATAGTCTGGCAGCTTATATTTCAACTCTGGACAAAGAGAGGCTGAGAAAACTTACAACTAGGATACTTTCAGATACCACCTTGTGGCTCTGCAGAATTTTCAGGTAAAAACATAAGATTTACTTCCCCTAAAGTTTGTTTGAGTCAGATATCAGGATCTTTTGTCTGGAGCTATACTGGGCTTAACCTGAGCAGCTATACTGCTGGTTGGAAGGGTTGCTTAACCTTATGCCTCAGTTTTATCATCTGTTCAGTGGGGTAAGCATTAGTATTACATCACAGACTTACGTGGTTTAAGTGAGCTCATGGATTAATACATTTAAAAAGTTGAGACTATAAAGCACCTGTGTTTGATAGTGTCAGCATTTATTTTTAATTACAATTATCACATGTTAATAGGAGGTAGAGCAATGATTTAAACTTTCATTTTATTCTCTCTCCTTCTCTAGGAGATTGTGAAGCATAAAAAAACCCCAGGTCGATTGTAATAAAACAAAAAGTTGTTTTATTAAGCATAAAACAATTAGCATTTTTGACAGCTTTATTTATTCTGCATGTCTTAGGACTGAAACTCTGCTAACAACCATACCTGCATTTCCAGTCCTGGCCAACATAAGCCAGAACTGTGATATTCAGGCTTTTTGTATCCAGAAGATTTCTAATCTTTGTTTTCCATACTCTCTGCTTTTTCTAGATTACTGGTATGGATAAAAGGTCACTGCCACTCTTTTTTATAACCTCTAACTGCAGTGTGGTCAGCCATTTAAATGGAGGTGTTTCACATTTCTACCCTCTCTGCTTGACCTAGGTGAAAATATCAGTCTGGCTTAACAGAAGAATTGATTCCATGATTATAAGATTATAAATCAGAATTAATCAGAAATAGGAGAACATTAATAAATAGGTGTCTTTTAATAGGTATGAAAATGGCTGTGCTTATTTCCATGAAGAAGAAAGAGAAGGACTTGCCAAGATCTGTAGGCTTGCCATTCATTCTCGATATGAAGACTTTGTAGTAGATGGATTCAACGTGTTATATAACAAAAAGCCTGTTATATACCTGAGTGCTGCTGCTAGACCTGGTCTGGGCCAGTACATTTGTAATCAGGTAATTTTTTTCTTTTTTCTTTGAGATGGGGTCTCACTATGTTGTCCAGAATGGCCTTGAATTTCTGAGTTAAAGCATTCACTCTGCCTCAGCTGGGACTACTAGTATGGCACATACCTGTCTTGAAACTTTGAAAGCTGTGGACTTATTTCTTTAGTTGGTATTCTTTTCAAGTGGAAAGGAAGATAGTCTTCATATATGCTTGTTTTGTTATGTAAAAAATATGGTGGTATTGAATTCAGAAATACCACAGTCAACATTTTATCTTGTTTTTCCAGACAAAGTGTGTGTATTCTTACATAGTATCTGGATTTTTTCACTTACTGTTGTAATGAGAGTAATATATCATGTTTTAACAATTCAAGTAAAACTTATTTTTAATATCTTCATGATAATTCCTGGACATCTTGGTACATAAAGCTTTGCCAAACTGGGTGTGGGTCCTATTCCTGTAATTGCAATACTTGAGAGGCTCAGGGAGGAGGGAACTGCAAGTTCAAGGCCAGTCTGGGCTACATATCAAGACACTATCTTAAAAAAGAAAAAATTTTGTCTATATTTGGAATTTTATTCTCTTCATAGCTTTTCAGAGCCAATCTAGAATTTTTTTTTCTTCTGTGTTTTAGGGAAGGGTCTACAGCATGTTCAGGGTCTCACTACTAGATCGGACTCATAATGATTCTATTTACAGCCTCCAAAGTGGTAGGATTATAGGCACGTGCCACTATGCCCAGTCTCAGTGCGCCCCAGCGGTGGGGCCAGCACAGTAGGCCTGGGGATCGAACCCCCAGCCCCTGTGCCTGCTTGCAGGTGCTTTAATCCACTAAGCTATTTGGCTGGCCCTTTTTTATTTTTTATTCCTGTATTTTTTAGGGAAGTGTCTACAGGGTGTTTAGGATCTCACTACTAGATCAGACTACTGATTCTCCTGTTTACAGCTTCTCAAATGCTGGGATTACAGGTACATACCACCATGCCCAGTCTCAGTTGCTGTCTCAGCATGCCCTGAGTGTGGGGCTGGCACAGCAGGCCTGGGGATTGAACCCTGGCCCCTGTGCCTGCTTGCAGGAGCTTTAATTCGCTGAGCTATTTGGCCGGCCCTTCAATCTAGAATTACTAGATCAAAGAGCATTACCATTTTTAAAATTCATGCTTGGATGTAACCTAGCTGAGGGAACTACTTTGAGATAAGGAATTGTTAACTCTCTTGACCAGAAATGCTTAACACAAAACCCATAGGATTTGAGGGTTGATAGGAGATGTGAAGGCCCTGGGAGATGAACAGAAGAAATTCATGGACTTAAGCTGATGCTGAGCTATGAAGACTGATCACAAGAGATTATGTCCTCTTCTTGAGGTTATACAAAGTGGGGAGTAGTTTTTGTTGCAGGAACTGGACCCAAGGCTATACTCCTAGGCCATTTTATTTTTTTATTTTGAGACTGGTTCCCACTAATTTGCTAAGTTGCTAAGTTTGGGGCTGAACTTTCAATTTTCCAGCCTCCTCTCAGAGTGTGGGAGTTCTGTGTTCTTGTAGAAACAGGATATAAATTATTTGAGTACGTACTCTAAACCATGCTCCTGTGAATCTGAAGCTGTCTTGGGATAGCAAACTAATCACCAAAACATGAGTTAGGGTATTTTGTTAACTGAGAAAAGCAAGTGGCAATCTGTTGACTATGTGTGATGGTTGTGTTCATATTTTTTAAAGTATGTGTCTTGTTTTGAGCATGGCACATATCTGTAATCTCAGAATTTGAGAGGCTAAGACAGGAGGATCACTGAGAGTTTGGGGCCAGCCTGAAGCACATAATGAGACCCTGTCTAGTAAAAGAATGTATGTGTTTATATAAATATTTTAATACCTAAGAAACAGGGCTGGAGAGATGGCTCAGTGGTCTAAAGCACCTACTTGAAACAAGCTTGGCAAAGCACACAGGGACCACGGTTCGATCCCCAGCACCACATGCCAGCCAGACCCGCCCCCTGGTGGGCTGAGCTGGCCACACACACACACAATAAATAAGTGTAATAATACCTAAGAAACAGATTTATCTGTATACGTATATTTATACCTAGAAAATGTCTGGAAAATTATATGCTGCACTGTTACTAGTGGTAAATTAGTGCCTTAAACTGCCTAGTTTTTAATGATTTGTTTCATTTGTTATCACTTTTGTAACATTTTCAAAGATCATAGGACTGGGGACATATATAGCCCAGTAACAGAGCACCTTACCTACCAGAGTAAGGTCCTGGGTTCAATCCTCAATGCTGCTTTAAAAAAGTCCTTTAAGGGGAAAAATAATGTGTGAATAAATTACTAACTTTTGGGCCTTTAAATGTTACCAAATCTTAGTTATACAGAACAATATGCTGCAACTGTTTACAATTCTAAAACTATAAATTCCACAAGGATTTGGAAGCTAGAAATATGAAATTAATTTGACAGTAATAACTTTCCATAACACTGACTTCATTTAGTTAAGAAATGTACATCTGCTAATACATACTTGTTTTTAGGGGTGGGTGGATCCATAAATAAGATATTGTTCTTGAAATGCCTTTATCTAGTGTTATTTACCAGAAATGCTTGGAGGAGGAATCCTAAATTACCCTTCAACATTCTGGGCACTCAATAATTGCTTTCTTTGAAAAAGTCTTTTTGTTTATATTACTTGACTATTTTAGAAAATTTTATATTGTGTCCTCTTGTAAAGTGCTTGGAAATTAACTTTTTTGTAATGACTTTCCAAATGTACTTTAACATACAGTGATGATATTAATATTAAGAATTCCTTAGGGGAGAAATTTCTTTTTTAGATAGGGTCTTGCTGTGTAGTTCACTGTGTAGTTAAAGCTGGCCTCAGACTTGCAGTGATCCTCTTACCTTAGCCTCCTGAACTCTTGCACCATCATACTTGCTGAGACTTTTTTCTTTTTAAATAATAAGTATGTCTTGTCCTAAAACACTCGATATTTCACAGTCATAAGTGAATTTTTAAATTTTTTTTGATAAGTGAATATTTACAAAGATCTTTGTACTAAAGTTGTGTGTTTCTTCTTACAGCTTGGTTTACCCTTTCCATGTTTGTGTCGTGTGCCCTGTAACACTATGTTTGGATCTCAGCATCAGATGGTGAGTTATCCTTTTGTTTTATAAAGTAACATGAAATTGTATTTTGAAACTGTGTCATCTTTTCAGCTGAAGTTCTCTTTGCTGGCCTTCACATAATGACTAGCTTTTATTTGCTGCTTTAGTCTTTCTGTTGCTTCTGTGTTTGAATGTCCATAAGGCTGGCCAATGTGTAGGTCAGGCGAACCTAGCTTTTAAGGACTCTTGTAATCATATGTCACTTGCTTCTTTTCTTCTTTCTGGGGGAAAGGAGTGAGTATTGAATCCAGAGCATCATGTATACTAAAAATACATTATATCCAGCCCTATCACATTCTTTAAACAGAAACATGGTAACCAATTAAGCACCAGAAATTCCTTCTAAAGTTAATACTTTTAAGTAATTATTCAATGGCTTGTGTTCGTGAATGGCAGATTGTGATATTGAGATTCTTTGTAATCTTGCGATTGAGCTGGTTTTATTTTTAGACATGCAAGTGATAAACTTCTGCATATTAAAAAAGCTGGAGGAAAAGGAATAGATTTTAGATTTCTGTATTCTTTTTTCGAGGTAGTTTCATTTTTAATTTAAATATATCAATATTGGGCCAGCCAAATAGCTCAGCAAATTAAAGCACCTGCAAGCAGGCCCAGGGGCTGGGGTTCAATCCCTGGGCCTGTCCCCCTGGCCCTGCCCCTGGAGTACGCTGAGGTGGCAATTGAGACTGGGTGTGGTGGCATGTACCTGTAATCACAGCACTTGAGAGGCTGTGAACAAGAGGATCACTTGAGTCCAATATAGTAGTGAAACCCTAAGCACTCTGTAGACCCTTCCCTAAAATACAAAAAAAAAAAAAAAAAAAAAAAAAGATATATCAGTATCAATGTAGATTCTTGTGTTTTTCTTTTACTCTTTTTGAAGAGATTGAGAGATCTTTCTTTCTTTCTTTCTTTTGGTATCAGGACCTTGTGCTGAGCTATCTCCCTGGCACAGAGAGACCATTTTTCTTTTCTCTATTTAGGTTAGGGTCTACAGGGTCTCATTACCTCCCAAATGCTGGGATTACATGTCCAGTCTCAATCTCCATCTCAGGGTACCCCAAGGGCAGTAAAGCAGGCTAAAGCAGGCACTTTAGTCTGCTGAGCTATCATTCTGGCCCCCAACATTTTCATTAAATGTAAATATTTAAAACCAGAGAAATACTGGTCCTGCTGGTCCTACATATATACCACATTTTTTATTTGTTTGTTCAGATAGGATCTCACTGTGGACTTTAGACTAACCTTAAGCTCACTCTGTAATCTATGTTGGGCTCAAACTCGTAATCCTGCCTCTGCCTCCCAAGTGTTGGGATTATAGGCATTTACACTATGCTCAGAAGTATACTTTTTTTATATCATTGAAGTAATTTTTTCTTATTAGTCTTTAAAGAAAACAGATAGTTATGAATAAAAATTGACATGAGTAATTTTGAGACTCATGAGGTTCCTTTGGAAGTCATACTTTTTCATTGTATAACTTTTAGCTTCATGTTTTTGTGGGGCTTTATTTTTATTTATTTTTGTTTTATCTTGTCTCAGGATGTTGCCTTCCTAGAGAAACTGATTAAAGATGATATAGAACGAGGAAGACTGCCCTTGTTGCTTGTTGCAAATGCTGGTAGGTATCATAAACTTGAATCTTTGATTTTGCATGTATAAAGGGAGTACTTTGTCTAAAAAGGCCAAGTCTGGCTGGTGAGCTATCTCAGCAGACTAAGTGTCTGCTTAGGCAAGCACAGGGACTGGGGTTTGATTCCCATACTGTATGCTTTGCCAGCCCTGCCCCAGGACGTGCTGAGCCCTCCACGGAGTCTGGGCATGGTGGTGCACACCTGTAATTCCAGCACTGTGGAGGCTTAAAACAGGAGGATCACTGCGAATCCCAGATGTGTAGTGAGACCCTGTACAAAAGTAAAATAAAATAAAGCAAACTGGCCAACTCTGAAGAAATGTTTGTGTACTCTGTTTAAGACAGACTGTATCCACATAGTGGTTAGAGCTACTTATTAAAAGTTAGGTATTTATATTTTACAAACTCCTCTCACCCCCATGCTGGGGTTTGAACTTAGAGCTTAGCACTTGCTTAACAAGTACTGTACAATTGAGCGACTTGCCCAGCCCTAAAATGTACTCTTAAATATCCACTTTGTAGATAGCAGGTCAGCTACCACTTCTGCTATTTATTGTATTGAATTCGACATTCTACTTGAAGTCCTAGATTGTGTAACAAGGCAAGAAAAATAATTACATTATATTTAGATTATAAAAGAAGTAAAACTGTCTTGATTTATTAATTTATTTTTTTTTTCTTGAGACAGGGTCTCACTATATAATACAGGCTGGTCTTGAACTTGCTAATATAAATCAGGCTGACCTTGAACTCATGGTGATCCTCCTGTCTCAGCCTTCCAAATGCTGAGATTACAAGTTTGCTCTACCACACTGGGTTTTATTGATGATTGTATAGGTAGCTACTGAAGAAACTAAAGAAACAGCTAGTGAAATTAATTAGTAAACCTAGCAAGGTTGCTGGATTTTTACCTACTATCAATGCACAGAAGGAAATAGAATTTAAAATATTTATAATAGCACAAAAACATGAAAAATTTATAGTTAACAAAATACATGAAGAATCTGTACACTGAAAACGATAGAATGTTGATGAAAGAAACAAGACTCAAATAGGTGGACTGATATACTACGTGTTGGTCAGTATGAAGTCAGTTCTCCCTAAAATGATCTGTATATTCACCTTAATGTCAATTTCAGGAAGTTGCAGTTCTGTCCTGTCCCTTCCATTCCCTCTTACCCCTTCCCTCTGCCCTTCCTTTATCCTTTTCCTTTGTCCTGTCCTGTCCTGTCTTGTCCTGTTCTATTTATAATGGGAATTGAACTCAGGGCTTTATGCTTGCCAGGCAGGCACTATGCTGCTGAGGTATTTCCAAAGCCCACTGTGGTTTCTTATATACAGTGATTCTAAACCAATCATGGAAATGCAGAGGAGCTGAGAATAACCAAAATAATATTGAAAAGAACAGATTTGAAAGACTTACCTTATCTGATTTCAAGACTTATAAAGCTACAGATAGGGGCTGAGAGCATCTTCATTGGTAGAACACATGATCAGCATGTGTGAGGCCATGGCTTCAAGTTCCAGCACATGCCCACACAAATAAAACTACAAATAATCAAAACTTGGTGAGATTAAATGAAGAGAACATAGAAAGTTCACAAATGCTTGCATGATGTGTTATCACTTTGTTTTGGTTGTGGTACTGAAGGCCTTCACACTGAACGACATTCCCAGCTTATTTTTTATTATTTAATTTGAGACAGGGTCTCACCAGGTTGCCCAGGTAAGGCTTAGATTTTCAGTCTTCCAGTTACAGCCTCCTAGAGTGCTAGGATTATAGTGATATACCACTATACTCAGATAATCATTTAATTTTAACAATAATACCTACATAATTGAAGGGAATAACAATAATCTGGTAGTCTTTTTCCACCAGTAGTCTTGGAACAAGTGGACTATCCATATAGAAAAAAACTGAATCTCACTCATATCTATCTATAATATGTGTGTATATGTAAATAAACTACAGATGACTAACATTCCTAAACATAACAGCTAAGGTAATAAAACTTGTAGAAGAAAATAAAAGGTCTTTATGATGTTCAGTGTTAGGAAAAATTTCTCAAGACACAAAAAGCATTTTTGATAAATTAGATTTTATCAGAAATTAAAAGTGTGATTGGGGATATAGCTCAGTGGTAGTGCATGTGATTAGTATATGCAAGCCTCTGGAGTCAATTCCCAGCACCAAGAAAAAAGAAACTTTTTGCTATTTGAAAGAAACCCTATTAAGAAAACCAAAAGCAAGCTACAGAATGGGAGAAGTATTTGCAAAACAGTTTTCTGAAAATGTTTTACAATATGTGAAGAATTCTTACAAATCAATAAGACAGCTAATACAGTTATTAAAATGAAGATTTGAACAGGCATGTCACCAAAGAAATGTAAGTATATAAACACTCAAAAAGATGTTTAGGGCCGGGGGTGTGGCTTAGTGGTACAGCACCTGTCTGGCAAGCAGAAGGCCCTGGGTTCGATTCCTGGTACCAACAAAAAAAAGATGCTTAATATCACTAGTCATTAGAAAAATACAGTTTAAAACCAGTGAGAACTGGGGATGATGCTCAGTGACAGTGCTTACCTCACATATGGAAGGCTCTCTTTGGTTCCCAGGACCACATACTTACCCCAAAACAAACAAAAAGCACACTGTGGCATATCTGTTAGAATGCAAAAAACAATTACAGTACCAAATGCTAGAGAGTATGCAGAACAGCTGGAACTTTAATGGATTCCTAGTGGGTATGCAAAATCTTACAATCCTTCTGAAAAATTTTTGCCAGTTCTTCAAAAGGCTAAACAAAATTACCATATAATAATATCAGTTCCTTATATAGGGATTTATCAAGAGAAATGAAAACATATCTCCACACCAAAACTTGTGTGAAAAAGTGAATAAGACAATACAGATGTCCATCTGTGAATGAACAGACCAACTGGGGTGTGTCTATTTAATACAGTACTAAGCAGTAAAAGGAACTATGTGTACCTGCCATCCCAGCACCATGGGAGACTGATGCAGGAAAATCACAAGTTTAAGCCTAGTCTGGGGAACTTAATGAAGCCCTGTCTTAGAAAAAAAGAGAATTAAAAATGAAGAATTGCAGACCTACACGTTGACATAGAGGAATTTCAAAAGTATGCTAAGTATAAAGCCAGACACAGTAAGTTATTGTTATGGTTTGTGTCTAGCTGTCCCCCCACCCCCAAGCCTCATGTAAGTTACGGGACAGACGCGGCTGGAGGAGCAGTGGGTGGCTTGAGGTGTGGGGCCAGAGGACCAGGGCAGCGCTTGAAGGGGGGGGCCAAAGAAGCGCAAACCATAAAACTGGCTAGCCTGTGCTTTCTCCGAGATGTGGAAAGGGTTGTCCTGGACATGGCAACACCCCAGCCTCTCCTTCACACCCTGTAGAGTTGGGGCAGAGTCTTGAAACCTACAGTAACTATGAGCTGAATAAACCTTTCGTTCCCTCATTTTGAGTGTCAGGTATTTGTCCCAGCAACAAGAGTAACTAAGACAGTTTTATAATGCATAATTCCGTTGGTAAGAAATTCTAGCTGAGCATGGTGGTGTGTATCTCCAGGAAAGTTACACAGAATTGCTGTGAGTTTAAAGTCAGCCTGAAAATGTAGCAAGTCCCATTTTTCAACAAAAGAAAAATTCTAGAAAAGATAAAACTATACTGAAAGAGGTCAGGATTGTCTGGGACCAGTGAGGAATTAGGAAGACGATTAACCACAGTAGGGATAATAAGTTTTTGAGATGATAGGAATAGTCTGTATCTTGATTAGTGATTATATATTATATAAGGGTGCACTGAGACAGCAATTGAGACTGGGAGTGGTGGCATGTGTCTGTAATCCCAGCTCTTGGAAGGCTGTAACAGGTGGATCACTGAGTCCAATCTAGTAGTGAGACCCTGAACACCCTGCACACCCAGTCCTAAAATACAAAAAAATAATAATAAAAATAAATATATATATGTATATATAATATATATATATTATATATGATATATATATATATATATATATATGTCTGTCAGAACTCATTGAGCTATATAGTTAAATGAATGGGATTATTGCCTGTGAATTAATTTCAATAAAGCTTTTTTTTAAAAAAAAAAAAAAAAAAGAAAATACTAGGGCCCAGGGAGATGACTCAGTAGAATAAGCACTTCCCTGGCAAGTGCAAGGGCCTGAGTTCAATCCCTGGTTCCGCAAAAAAAGAAAAGAAAATACTTAAATGTCTACTTTATTGCCAGCAATAAAAAACCGTTTCCTGCCTATCTACTGTATGTTTAAAAGGAAGCAAATGCACTCATATTCAGTCATTTAAAGACTGAAGGGACTACAGCTAGCATGTGACTGTGTGACTGGTCAATGGCCACAGTGTTGTGGCCAGAGTGCACATCTTGGGTTAGTCAGCAGACATTCTCAAGAAGTTCGAAAAGCAATCTGAATGTAGTTCAGTCGCTCAAGGTCTGTATTTGGAGAGTAGGATCATGCGGCACTGCCCCTCTGCTGGCATTTGATCTTGTTTCGCTTTAAAATTTGAGAGAGACTCCTGTGCAAAGGAAATTCTCTGCTCTTTTACTAGCACAGACTGTACAGAAGAACCACTGTCTTTGGCTGGGTTGTGGAGGCCTTTGGAGAGGGTGTGAACTCTTCTTACTAGTTGGGACTCTGACTGGAACATTACGGTAGTTGGGAAAATGCATGACTGCAAATTTTATTTTATTTTTTGTATTTTAGGGAAGGGTCTACAGGGTGTTTAGGGTCTCACTACTAGATCCGAATTGTAGCGATCCGCCTGTTTACAGCCTCCTAAGAGCTGGGATTACAGGTGTGCGCCACCACGCCCAATCTCAATCACTGTCTCAGTGTGCCCCGGGGGCAGGGCCAGCATGGCAGGCCTGGGGATGACCCTGGCCCCTGCGCCTGCTTGCAGGTGCTTTACTCCACTGAGCTATTTGGCTGGCCCTGCAAATTTCACCTAAGCCCTGTCTCAAAAGGATCGGTCCAGCAAAATCTGTAATGTAATCAAATTACCAAAGGAGTGGGAAAGGATAGTGTAGATCAGTAATGGTGAACCTTTAGGGATTTTAATGATAACAGACCACTGCAACACATATGCCATAGGTTTGCCACTTACTGTCCAGGCAAAAGCTACCATCAAAACAAAAATACTATAGCAATATTAGTATATAAAATAAACTTTGTGTGATAAAAAGCAATCTACTGAAAGAGTAGGAATGCTTATGAGATACGCCTTTGAAATACATAAAAGAAAGCTAAAGAAGAAACAGATGGAATGCATGTATAATTGGACAGGTCCACAGGCTTGGTGGGAGACTTCACTATATTTATTTTTTTTATGTATTTAGTACAGGGTCTTACTACACAGATCAGACTAATGGTGATCCTCCTGTTTTTAGCCTCTCAAGCACTGGGATTACAGTTGGGTGCCACCACGCCCAGTCTCAATCACCATCTCAGTGCACACTGGGGGTGGGGCTGGCACAGCATATGGTGCTGGGGATTGAACACTGGTCCCTGTGTCTGCCTAAGCAGGTGCTGTAGGTCGTTGAGCTATCTGGCCAGCCCTGACTATATCTTGAATTAACGGGAAGAATATATAGAAACTCATAAGAGATTTCAGAAATGCTATATATATGAATGCAAATCTTCAAAGCTTACATAAATCATCTTGCAAAAGAAATTAACTTTGGTCCACAGACTCAGAACAGTTACTTCCTATCTGGAGAAACATAGGGCTGGGGATATAGCTCAGTGGCACAAGCACCTGCCTGGCAAATGCAAGGCCCTGAGTTTGGTTCCTGGTCCAAAAACAAAAAGAAATGCTGTATATAAAATTTCTTATGCTTTTCAGAAAATACTTACTCCTTTTAATATTCTTGCCTATTTGTTTTATGGTAGGAACTGCTGCAGTTGGGCACACAGACAAGATTGGACGTTTGAAAGAGCTCTGTGAACAGTATGGCATATGGCTTCACGTGGATGGGTAGGTAGATGATCAGATTGGTCAGTTTTGTTGGCTCTTTGTAGTCCTCATGAAGAGTGTATGTCCAAGCCAGTGGTGCACACCTGTAATCCCAGCACTAGGGGTTGAAGCAGGAGGGATTACAGGCATGTGTCAGTACTCCCAGTCTCAATCGCTGTCTCTGAGTGCCCCATGGTGGGACCACAATAGCAGAGGGATAGAACCCTGGCCCCTGCATCTGCCTAAGTAGGCATTTTAATCTGCTGAGCTATTTGACCAGCCCGTCTTTTTTTTTCATCCCATCCCTTTCCCATCCCTTTCCCAACCCTTTCCAGTCCCTTTCCTGTCCCTTTCCCCGTCCCTTTTCCTTCTCTTCCCCGCTCCTTCCCTCCGTCCCTCTCTCCCCCATCTCTCCCCTTCCCTCCCTCTCTCTTCCTTCTCCCTCTCCTCCCTCTCTTCCCTGTCCCTCCTCCTCCTCCTGCTCCCTCTCCCAAACCCAGGTCCCTGAGCTTGCCAGGCAGGTGCTTAGACCGCCAAGCTATCTCCCCAGCCTAACATAATCATGGTTTTTGTTTTGGTTGCAAAGCACCTATGTAGTAATTAACATTAAATTCTGTAGTTCTTACATTGGTGTTTTTTCTTCCAGGGTGAATCTGGCAACATTGGTTCTAGGTTATGTCTCCTCATCAGTTCTGGTATGTTACTGATTTACTAAATTGGTGTTCCTAAGAAGGAACTTAAAATCTCTCAGCTCTTGTTATTTTTTCAGGTTTTATGAGTAGAAGAGTGAGTTGGGTTTGTATTCTGATAAGCTAATGAAAGCTGTTCTCTTTTTGGTAGGCTGCAACTAAGTGTGACAGCATGACACTGACTCCTGGCCCATGGCTAGGTTTGCCTGCTGTTCCTGCAGTGACACTGTACAAACATGACGATCCAGCCTTGGTAAGCTCACTTTCCCTGGGGAGGAGGGAGTGGCAAATAGTCATTATTGGCTTTAGGGACACAATACAGAAACATGAAGAAAAAGGTGAATTTTTCCCCTTAACTGCACTTCATTTGTACATACATATATATTTAAAAGTTATAAATAAATCCATACCATACTAATTTCTCTACCCCATGCTTTATAATGTATATGAAGGATATTTGTGGCATTTTATGCCTAGATAATATTCTGTTACATAAGTATCACAATTTTTTAATCATGGCCATTTGAGAAAATGAACATATTTCTCAGTTTTAAATTACTTCTTTGGTAAGTTCCCAGAAATAGAATTACAGACTTAGGAGTATTTTAAGTATTCTGATGTAGTGGATAAGTTAGTGACAGGCACATGCAAAATAAATATTAAGTGATTTATTGCTAAAACAGTTGTTGACTTGCTCTGTTGACAATGAACCAGGTATTTGAGAACGCTCAGAGTAACCTTGCAAGGGCTGATTCTTGAAGGAGCTTAGTTTTATTTCTGGGTTCTATTTGTATTTGTGTCCTGGGTTTGCCTCTCCAGGTCTCTGAGCTAAGCTACCTAAGAATATTTATGTCATGGGGTGTAGGATGATCAAATGGATAATGCAAGCCAAGTGTCAAATATGAAGTGTAAATGAATGGTAGCTAGTTCCTGGGATTCTAGTGGCTTTAACTAATGCATTGATTTTGGCTTTTTTAGACATTAGTTGCTGGTCTTACATCAAATAAGCCAGCAGACAAGCTCCGTGCCCTGCCTCTGTGGTTGTCTTTACAATACTTGGGACTGGATGGGATTGTGGAGAAGATAAAGCATGCCTGTCAACTTGTGAGTAAACACCTGAAGTTTAAGTGAATCACAAAGACTCCTTCCAGTGTGTTGTCATCTGTACCATAAGAAAGCAGACTGACCACCTTGGTGGGTATGTTTCTTGCTGAAAGTAAGTTCTGGGAGAGACTGCTGGCATTGATCCAGCAGTAAGCCCAGATGAAATCAGATTAGTCAGGCTATTGTCAGCCTGAGATGAGAGTTGGGGTCCCAAGAAGACTCCTAAGGAAGGAAGAAGAATGGGAGAAAGGTCAGCCAGCCTGACTCCTCAAGATAAGGGAATATGAAGGTTAGAGGTGAGATACAGTGGCATATACATTCCTAGCATACTGGATTGGCTTCCCAAATTGCAGAATTCCAGGGGCAGTTCGATTATTTTTGCATTCAAGATATTGTAATTGTGGAAAATGTGTGATTATGCTATAGTTAGTTTATTAATCCATTTGGATGCTCTAAGAGAATACTTTGGATTGAATAATTTCCTGTTCTCAGATCAAAATGCCAGCAGATTCAGTGTCTGGTAATGGCCTATTCCTCACAGATGGTGGTGGCTATGCATTTCACTTGGCAAAGGGGAGAACAGACACACTAATCCCATTCATGAAGGTGCCACCCTTGTGTCCTAGTAACCTCCAAAGACCCCATCTTTTTATTGTTGCATTGGGGATTTAATTTAAGGAACTTTGGGTAGGCACAAACACTTAAGCCATAGCTTTATAATGCAAATGTAGTGAGAGCTGAATACTATTAAATGCAGAAGCATGATGTCACCTTCTGACATGCCATTTTCTTACCTGAATTAGGAAGTACAATTCAGTAAGGATTATTATATGAGGACTTCAGTTCATGTGTGTAAAGCTTGAAGAATAATCTTGCATATAGGAAGTTTTTCATATAGGTTTAAATCTTTGTTTTAAACATGTTCTTGAACTGAGGCTATAGCTCACTGGGAGAACACATGTGTAACATACATAAGTCCCTGGTTTTGCTCTTCATCCCCACAGTCAGTTTTCTTGGGCAACTGGCACTTTCTCAGGTGTCATTTTTGTGTTTTAGAAAAATTAACATTTTCATATTTCACTAGTATAGTTCTTTATATGTTAGTTCCTTTTTATATTAATAAATAATTTTAAAATTTGTGTTTATAAAAGAACCATTTTTTAAAAAAATGTTCTTATATGCCTTTTGGTCATATCTTTGATTTAGTTATATGGAAAGAGAAGCTTTATTATTATAGCAATTTAGCTAATTTAGGGAATGTATGGACAGGAAGTAAGAGTTCTTCAATTCATCAGGGCCTGTGAAATACATGAAAATATATGATGACATTAATTACCTTGAGGTCACCACAGCTCTGGTCTCTTGCTGTACCAAAAAGCTGTAGCTGATTTTAAGTGCTCAGGAAGTCTTGCCTGTTACTGTACTGCTGGCTGCCCATGTTAAGCTATGTGAAACTTCAGCAAATGTGGTTTTCTGTGTTATGCCTTATGCGCCACACATTGCCTGAGAGCAGAAAGTTGTCCTCATCTTCATTTCCTTCTTTTCCTCATCATTATCACCACCTTCTTTGTGGATAGTCATTTTTTAGTTTTTATTTAGTACTAAGTACCAGGAAGTACTTTTCATGGTTTGCTTCAGTTGACCCCCTAGAATGTAAGGTCCACTGATGACATGTTAAAAATGAGACTTTGGGCCAGCCAGATAGCTCAGCAGATTAGATTCCTAGCCTGCCGTGCCCACCCTGCCCCTGGGGCATGCTGAGATGTTGATTGAGACTGGGTGTGGTGGTGCATGCCTATAATCCCAGTACTTGGGAGGCTGAAAACAAGATCACTACAAGTTCAGTCTGTGTAGTGAAACCCTGTAGACCTTGTACTACATACTTTAACAAAAAAAAAAGAGATTTTATGAGGAGCTTTCCAGCATCCAGCGCTCAATGAATATGTTGAATTCATGTCCCCTTACATGAGTTAGACATTGTTATTATCCTCATATGGATACTAGGAAACAGGAATTGAGGCATACAATGGAGATGAATATAGCTAGCACCTACATAATGCACATTGTGTTCTAGACACTGTTTCTGAGCACCTAACACATTGTTGACTCATTCAATTTTTCCCACAACCCAGTAAGATGGATATTATCATTCCATTTTTATAGTTAAGGAAACTGGTTTTGGAGATGTTAATTGGCTAGGCTATGTTCTTAATCTCCTCTTAGGCCAGCTGATTCTCATGTAGCACTAGTTTTGCCTCCTAAAATGCATACTATGCATTGCTCATATTTTTATTTAGTGGTTTTTGAATAAATGGCTTATATATCACTAATAAGATGATTCACAAGTCTCATTAGAAATAGCTTGTTTTTGTTTTTGAGACAGGGTCTTTTTGTGTAGCCAACCTGGCCTCAGACTTGAAATGATTCTCCTGTCTCAGCCTTCCAAGTGCTGATACTACAGGCAGGTGGCATCATACCTGGTCAGAAACACTGTGTAACTTTTAACTGAGAAATCGAAGAATATTTGGAGATTTTGAATTGTGAAAATTGGCAGCTGAACTTAGAAATCACCAACTTACAGATGTCTGAGAACCCTGTGTGCAGACCTTGGATCTCTTGAGAACTGAATGCATATGCCAACCTAATGACAGTCTACTTACAAGCTGTTTGTCATTTGTAGAGTCAGCGGTTGCAGGAAAGTTTGAAGAAAGTGAACCACATCAAAATTTTGGTATGGTATATAATTTCCTATTTTGAAATACTTGTTTTTAACTTCAACAAAATGCTTTTCTCCACATGTGATGTATTTCAGTTGAATTGTGACAGCTCTTTTTTTTTTTTTTTCTTTTAAATGCGGCCTTTGCAAGTACTCAATATATTTGTTTATGACATAGCTGAAGATCAAGAAATTGTGCTTTATGGTGTTTAAATTCCTATAGTGCCTTTCGTGTGATCCATTTATCCTGTTAAAGTTTAGAACTGTACAAAGATCTTACAAACACCATTGACTGCACCTGCCTAAGGACTTTAGAACACTTTTCTGGTAGGAAAAACTGCTGTGTCTCAGAATGCTCTGTGCTACTTTTTTGAAACCTCCTGACAGTAGAGTTTGTATTTGCTTAAGATAGAATGAAAAAGAGTAAAGCAAGTAGCCCTGCTCTTTCTCCTCCTGGTATCTTCCTAAAATGAATCTCTCAAACTGTACCTTTGGGATAATAAATAGAAGAGATGAGAACTTAGCATTGGTTCAGGTGAGAATCTTTCACTTTATTGTTTTAGAATTGCGAGAAACGTTTTGGTCAGATTTTGATTTAAATAGGCTGAATGACAGTTCTTCAGAGTACAGTGAACTTTAAAACTTGGCTGGGGACTGGGGAGATAGCTCAGCGGAGTAAGTGCTTGTTTAGCTAAAGTGCAAGGTCCTAAGTTTATTCTTGGAACCGCAAAAATAAAAAAAATAAAACCTAGGCTGGGTGTGGTGGTGTACACTTGTAGTATCAGCACATGGGAGGCTGAGGCAGGAGGATCACAGTGAGTTTGAACCAGCCTGGGCTATATAAGTGAGTTCAAGCCAGTCTGCACTATATACCAAGATACTGTCTCAAAAAAACAAAACAAAAACCCTAGTATTTATGTGAGGTTCCAGTTAGTACAGTTTCTTTCTGTATTAGAACATGGTTAGGCTTGATGGGGTGGGGGCTACTATACATGGCCTGTATAGCAGCAGCTTAGAACCATCAGGCCTGAGTTCTGACTGGTAAACTGTTGCAAACCAGAGAAGCCATTAGGAGTAAAGGGGATGACTTGAAGCCAGGAGGCCTGTGACTCTGAGGTCCTCTTCTTCCTCTTCTTATCCTTGAACCCAGAAACTGAGCAGTCAGATGAAGGATGTTAGTTGGACTCTTTTGAGGGCAGACAGACTCGGACTGGGGAATCCCTGCCTTTCAGAATGCATCTGGGCTCCTCATGTCCTTTTTCCTCCAAGTGGGAGCATCTGAAGAAGCTAGTCTTCACTGGTTCTTTTGAGCCGTCTTGAAGGCTACACAGCCTAGGCACAAATCCTGCTTTACTCTTTCTTTCAATTGTTGTTTTTTTCAGTAGTGGATATAATAGTCTGCAGACCCCACAAAACACTGTGGCTGGTCACTCATCATCATCACTGTTACAGCTGCTGCTCTGTAAAATGTTTGCCGGACAGCACACAGTGCTAAGTGCCTTGCTCATGCTACTTCCATTAGCTCTCCTAACAGGGTGCTGTGTCACTGCTCTTCCCTTCCTGGAATCATTCTGTTCCTCCCCGGTTCCTCTCATGACAGTTCCTTAGCTTTCAAATCTTGCTTCAAATTTAGACAGGCTTTCTGACCATAGGAAATAACTTCCCACTGACACCCATCATTCTATGTCCTGAGAAGTTTTCTTCCTTACTGCTTTCGGAAATTTGTGTGTTCATTGTCAGTTTTTTTCCTGTAGAAGCTTTGCATAGGCTTTATGCAAAATTACCACTGTCCCTACATGGGTATTAAAACCCAAGGTCCCAGCCAGGAAAACCAAGTTTCAGCCCATCCACACTCTGCTCCTCTTGCTGCTCTTTTCTGCTTTCTCTTTGTATCTTTGTTGTGAGCCCAGGAATTTTTTTTTTTTTTTAATCAAGGTTGTGGGGTGGTTAAGACAGGTTCTCAAGATATAGTTTAGGTTGGCCTTGAATTCATGATGTAGCCCAGGGTGGCCTTAAACTCAGGGTGATCCTTCTGCCTCAGCTTACCAACTGCTGGGACAGGGATGCATCAGTGGTTTAAATGGCTTTGGTTATTGATTACACTTAATCCAATATTTGATATTTAGAATTGATAACTTATACACTTGATATCTGAGAGAAAATTCAAGGAAAGGAAGCTGGGCATGGTGGCACACTGTAATCTGAGTACTCTGTGAGACTGAGGCAGGAAAATCACAAGTTCCAACCTAGCCTGGGTCACTTAATGACTTAGCTCAACAAGAAGGCCCTGGGTTTAGTCCCCAACACAGCAGGAGAGAGATGGAGGGAGGCAGGCAGGCAGGCAAGTCATTTTGCTTTACCTTAACTAAAAGATGGGGGAATGGTTGTATTATCTTGTCACAGTTTTTTGTTCCTACTTCCTTGTTTGGTTTATTCTAGTTTATTTAAATATTAGGCCCCTGATTATTTTCTTCCCTCAGCATGGTCTTGCTACAGTTTAGGCTGGCCTTGAACTCTCATTGATCCTGCAGCTTCAACCTTTTGTATTTTGGGATTACAGATGGCACCACTAGACTCAGTAAATATTAATACTTTTAATGAAATAAGGGCAAGCTAGGCATGGTGTTGTATGCCTGTAGTCCTAGCACGCGGGAGGCCAAAGCAGAAGGATCTCCTCAAGTGCAAGGCCAGCCTGGGCTATGTGTGAGTTCAGGACCAGCCTAAGATCCATAGTAAGACCCTATTTCAAGTAAATGACTGAATAAATATTTATGTGAAAATTATAGGAGGTGGCAGATAAGAAATCATTTTAGCACAGGAACTAGCTTAATAACTAATTGGTAGATTTGAATATAAATCTTTCTTGATCAGAATTACATCCATGTGGTCCTTTGAAAAATTGGTGGGAAAGTTCTTGGCCTGTTTATTTCCTGTCTCTTTAAGTTAGCATTTCTGTTGTGGCCTAACTCTTGAGTCATCACGCTCAACCTAAGAACATGGTTTTAGGACTAGAGATGAACAGTACTGCAATTATTGCAAGCTTAGAGAGCTGACCCCTCAGGGCCTTCGCCCCAGAGAAGTAGCCCATTGTTTACCAGGGTCATTGCTGCTCACTGTGTGCCCTGACATAATGCTAAAGCTGCTGGCTGAGTGAATGTCCAGCAAAGAGCAGGAGCTGGTGCTGCTATGGCAGTGCAGTGAGCAGTTTCTTTTGTTAGGAAATTCACTGCTGAAATGTTTTAAGGCCTGTCTCACATAAGTATATATGTTTAGAAAATACATACAGTTCCACTGTAGGTAAGTACATTGCCAACAGCACTTGTATTCTGTTCTGAATATTTTATAAGGTGAGGAGAAAGTACTTGTTTTCTTTTCTGAGTATAAAAATTGTAGTAAATCTTGATTTCTAGGATTCTTTGAAAGCACTGGCACTCTCACCACTAATTCGAGTTCTTTTCTTTCCTTATCAAAAAAGATCATTAATGTTATTCATAAATATTAAAATTATCCCATGCTTTAATTTTAGTGTCATATAATTAATCTCAGAACCACATTTCATTCTCAGGGTAGATCATAGTTACTTTCAAAAATTTTATCAAACGTTTGCTTTTTGTTACTTTAGCAGCTGAAATTAACCTTTGAGCTTTTAAAAGTGTTCATGTACAAAACAGACCACTTCCACCCTGTTTCCCAACTGACTGACCGACTCGATGGGTTTTTGGCATTTACTATCTTTTGGTAACACTGGACTTCTCTTTTTGCAGGTGGAAGATGAGCTCAGTTCTCCAGTAGTGGTGTTCAGATTTTGCCAGGAATTACCAAACTCAGGTAGGTGATTTAAAAAAGGTTAATTTTTGTGTCTGTATTTAAGGGCTTTGAACTTGATGCCATTTCAAGTTAGATAGTCCAAGATATTTTTATTGATTTATGGTGACTATACTAGTGGTTCCCAAGTATTAGTCTCCGGGCCAGTGCTAGAATGGGTGAATCACTTAAAAAAGATTCTTGTGATGCACTTCACAGACATGTTAATCTAGTAGCTTAAAACCCCTTAAGAATCTGCATTTTTAAAAAATGCTCTGTCAGGATGTGATAGTGCATGCCTGTAACCCAGCACGCTGGGAGACTGAGACAGGAGGATCTCAACTTCGAGCCTAGCTTAGGCAACTTAGCCTAGCTTGGGCAACTTAGTAAGATGTTATTTCAAGTGCAGAAATAAAAAGGGCATGGGGGATTCAGCTCAGTGCACATGTCCTGCATTCAATCCTCAGTACTTCAACAGAACTGCTCAAAGTTCTACCAACACACCATTATTTTTCAGCTAGATGGCCACATCCCTTACTCAACTTATCTGACTTCTCTGGATTCTGCTTAGTCCGTTTCACATCATGTGTTACATAGCAGTGAGTGAGCATTAAAAGTAGAAGCCAAATCATACCACTTCCTGCCCTGAAAATGTTAGTTTTCTGCTGTTTTAGTTATATGAAGCCAGACTCTTTCCTGTGGCTTCCAGGGCCAGTGTGTTCTGCCCCTGCTTTTCTCTGCAACCCCTTCCATTCTGAGAAGTGTGCTTCAGTCCTAAGACTCCTTGCTAGCTCATGGCTCTGGCATTTGCTGTTCCCTCTGCCTCACATGCCTTTCCTCTTGCTCTCATATCTCCATTAAGTTCCCACTTCAAGAGCATCCGCTCCTTATCCTGGCCTGTGGTCTTCTTTCACAGCACTAGCAATGACCAACATGTGATTTTCCTTTTCTAGTCAGACTGTAAGCTCCAATGTGACAGAAATGCTGCCTGTTGTAAAATATCCCAGGTGTCTACAGTCCAAGTGTGAGCAGGCACCCAGACTACTTGATGAGTCAAAGATAAATCTGGGGAAGCCTGGTTTGGATGCTTGGGTACTGTGGTTGCCTTGGCACAATGATTGGTAGACCAGGTATTGGCTAATGTAGAGGCCTTGCAAGCAACCTTTTCAAAATGTGAAGTTAAGAATTGTTTCTTGAAATGTTATTCAGGTGTTAGTTTGTGAGAGAAAAAAAGTATGTTAAACCTCTGTTAGAATTGTTTGATTTTATAAACATGAAGCTGTTCCCTTAAGATGAATAATAGAATCTAAGTGAAATTGAGTTGTGTTGTGATGTTTAGATTGGCCGTGTTTTGGGGAGTGACTCTTCTGTTTTGGCCTCAGATCCAGTCTTGAAAGCAGTACCAGTGCCCAACATGGCACCCTCCACAGTCAGCTGGGAGAGACATTCCTGTGATGCTCTGAATCGCTGGGTAAGGTGGCAGCTGTCTGCCTTTTTCTTTCCCAGAGTATCATGGCTGAGATAACAGAAGGTGCTCGGCTTGTTCTGGAGTACTTTTCTTAGTCAGATCACTTCATGGCTGACCACAGCAATCAATCTTGGCATTATTACCTTAGTTTTCACCTATGGCTGTTGCTCGGGTGCTGTGTATGGCTGTGAAATTGCAGTGCAGCTGCCATGATGTGTTGGTGAACGTCCACCTGCCTCAGTGGGTACCAAAGCCAAGTCCCTTGACCAACCTTGGCTGTTGGGCAGTGTGGGCCAGAAGTGTTGTGCTTCAGCACTTGTGGACACTGAAATAGTACCTCTAGGAATTAGCCTTGGGTGTTCCGATCAGCATAAGGATGCTCACGATGGCAGTATCAGTCCCTAGAGTGCGTGGTTAAGTAAGTTATAGCACATCCATACAGTGCAGTTCAAAACAGCTGCTATAAACCATGTTGCTGAACATGTTAGGCAGCCATGAAATGGTCAGCACAAATTAAATGGGGGGAAGAACTCTGAATATTATTCAAAAGTGCCAAATATCATGTTTTGTGACAAATATCTCATTTACCACAGAGAAAACATAGGGGAATATACCAAATGTCAGTCAGTGGTGTGTTATGGATATTTTTTATTTTTTAATTACCTGCATTTTGTCGATTTTTATGGAATGAATTATATTAGTAAAAAGGAAAATAAGCTAGGCATGGTGGTACAAACCTACAATCTTGGCACTCTGGGAGGGTGAGGTAGTGAAATAGCAAGTTTGAGCCCAACCAGGGCCACTTACCCACTTATTGAGAGTTTGTCTCAAAATCAAAGGGCTGGGGTCAGACCAGGTGTGGTGGCATACAACTTTAATCCCAGCACTGAGAATGGTTGAGGCAGAAGGATTACAATTTCTAGTCATGTGAAGGCAATTTAGCAAGACTGTCTCAAAACATAAAAAGTTCAGTGGTAGAGCATGCCTGGGTTTGATCCCCAGTACCACTAAAAAAAGAAAAAAAGTAAACTGTACTATTTTTGAAAAGAAGTGTATGGGCTGGGGAGATAGCGTAGTAGAATAAGCTCTTGCCTGGCACACACAAGGTCCTGAGTTCAATCCCCGATATCACCCTCCCCCCCCCCAAAAAAAAAGTGGTGTGTGGTGAGGGGTGCATGCCTATAATGCCATCACTCAGGAGGCTGAGACGGGAGTATTACTGAAAGCTTGAGGGTAGCCTGGGCTACCTAGTGAGTTTTAGGCCCACCTGGCCTACAGTGAGACCCTGTCTTAAAAAAAAAAAAAAGAAAAGGAAAAATGACCAAAGTTGTCAAAGACCAGGGCTGGGAATATAGCTTAGTGACACAGTACCTGCCTGGCAAGCTCAAGGTCCTGAGTTTGTTCCCTAGTGCCAAAAAAAGAAAAGGACCAACTGAAGGAAATGCACTCCAGGAGCCCTGCCCCCACAACACCATGTGTGTGCTGTCCTTTTTTTCCCCTGCAGCTGGGAGTGCAGTTGAAACAGCTGGTGCCTGTGAGCGGCCTCACTGTCATGGATCTGGAGGTTGAGGGCATGTGTGTGCGCTTCAGTCCTTTGATGACAGCAGCAGGTAACTCGTCTCTGTGTTTCCCTTTTGTTCTGGTAAACAGTTCTATGTCCATTAAAGTTCAGGCTGTTGGGTTAATTACCTACCTATCTTCCTTCGTTCCCTCCCTCCCTCCCTCCCTCCCTCCCTCCCTCCCTCCCGCCATACTGGGGATGGAACCAAGGGCCTTGGTACCCAGTCTGGCTAAATCGCTGAATTGCCCAGGCTGGGCTTGAACTTGCAGTCCTCTTGCATTAGTGCCCCTGAGTTCTGGGGTCACAGGCATGTGCCACCACAGCTGCTTAGTTTTCCTTCATGATATGCTGGGGTTTTGTCTTGTTTCATTGTGTTTTTGTTTTTGTTTTTGTTTTTGTTTTTGGTGGAACCAGGGATTAAACTCAGGCCTTGCGCTTGCTAGGCAATCATTTTGTTTTTCAGTTGCAGAATATAATTATGACATTTATTGTAGAGAACTGATACATGTATATAATACAGCTAAGTTCTTTTCTTCCCCCTATGATATTATTTTGCTGTGCTTTCCAGCATCAGTTTTTGGAGGGGCTATTTCTTCTTTTTAAGGTAGTGAAGATTTACACTTATCCAAGGTAGGAAAAGAGCAAGCATGGGCCAACTGAGGTACAAAAAGTAGATTCTGCAGGTGAGAGTGGGCCACTGTGAAAGACAGCACAGTGGCTACAAGGTTAATAGCCATTGTTCCCTGTACCTCTCCCTCCTCAGGTTGACATCAGGCCTATGCCATGTCATCAAAACCGCTTGATCTTATGCCAGAATTAAAGATAGCATTTTCTGATTGGCCATAGGTGTAGCCCTTGTGAACTGTTTTTCTGCATGTGTCCTGGGTTCCTGTGATTAACAGGTCACATCTACTTGCCCAGATGGCTGGCCAAACTCATTTTCCCCTGGGACACACAAATCCCCCCATTATTCTTTGTGCATTACTGATGGTGTGGAGGTCTCTTATCTTTATGTAGTTATTTCTACCTGAAAGGGGCTACAGGTGCTGCCTACTGGGGATTATGTGCTATCAGACTACCTCTGGATGTCGTGGCTCACCAGTGGGCTGAAAAACCTGTGAGAAAGGAGTTAGCGTCTATATGTCAGGAAGTGCTGAGCTCCCATTTAACAGGAGAGAGGTTGGTGAGATCTGTGAGAGCATCAGGGGCTGTAGTCTGAATCACCTCCTGAAGCCTTAAATGGATAAAATGGATTATTAGGTTGGGAATGCAGAGCCCTAGCATGAGAAAGAACAGGTGAAAATATTTCCTGGTCTGTCTTAAAGGGTGGATTATGACAGATCCAGCAGTTTACAGGTTCCTACGCTTGCGGTGGAGGAGAAAGCATGGTGAAGAGGAATATTAGAAAAACTACCAAGAAAAAAAAAAAAAAGAAAACTACCAAGGGCCTAAGAGTTGTAGCCCTAGCAAGACTGTCCATATTATGGATCTAATTAAAAACGGGATCCCAATAGAGGTGCGTACTTAAGATATGGTGGATTAGAGATCAGTTCTTTCTTTTTGTAGATTAGCATTCCATTGTACCTTCTTGAAAAGAGCAAACTTCTGAGATCAGGTGCATTCAGGGTGGTTCAAAAGAAGCAAACTTCTAAAGTCACTTGAATTCCTGTGTTTGGACAGCCTATGAACCTTGGTTTTCTATTCCAAGGGTTCCTAACTATGTCTTTGAATCACTGTGGGACTTTAAAAACCACCAGTGTCTGGGCCACCTACAGAGGTTCTTATTTCCTAGGTCTTTTTTCAGTTGCATTTAGTGGTATTGTGTATACTTAAGGAGCACATGATGTTGGGGGAAGGGGCACTGAGCTGCTGTGTCCTCTTCAGGCATGGAACCCTACAGGACCTCCCCGGTGTCCAGCTGTTAGGAAACACTGGGCATCAACATCTTTCTTTTTTTGGGGGCTGGCTCAACCTGCCCTGGGTGGGGCTGGCACTGCATATGGTTCCGGGGATTGAGCCATGGTCTCCTGCGCCTAAACTTGCCTAAGCAGGTGTTTTAGACCGCTGAGCTATCTCACTGGCCGTGGGCATCAGCATCTTAAAAGCTCCCTGGGAATTTTAATATGCCAACAATGATTGAAAGCAACATACTTCAGAAAGCACTGTAGCCAAAAGTGTGTAGATTTTTCCAGACAGTCCAGGAACTGTGCCCTCTGCACGATTAAATGGGGAGGGACCCTGAATAAGATCTTTGATCTCCAGACCTGTTCCCTGCCACCTGATGACAGAGATGTGAAGACTGAAGTGACAGGAGCAATAAATATGGTGACCATATGTAACAATAATGTACTGTTTTTCAAAAAGCTAGAAAAGACTTAAAGAGTATTTTTCCCTACAAAAAAATGGTGAACTTATCCTGACTTGAAGATTATACAGTGTGCATGTGTCTTAAGAACATCATTTGGTACTCCATGAATATGTACTTTTTGGCCTTAAAAA